GATGAAAGACTTTAGACAGTTTTTCAACTCTCAGTAATGCCATAGTGATCGTTTGATATATGGACCTGCAGCGGAGTTTAGGCCCAGACACGGCTAGTGACGTCAGACTGAACGACCGGATTGAGCCATTCAGACAAGCACCTTTTTAACAGAGGATTAACAGAGGTGATTATAAATACATATCAAGAAAATTGACAAGAATATTACAGAGTGGAAAAGAGCGTGTGTAAAAAGGGTCTACCTATTGCAGTGTTTACAGTGTGTTAGATGGAGGAGTTGTAAAGGGAGATGGCCAAAGGCGTGTGTGTGCGTGCGTGTGTGTGTATGTTTATCTGGTTAAATTCAGTATGGTTCCATCAACAGTTTTTACAAGGGGGAGAGGAAGTGCCAGAGGGAGTGTTCACCCAGGGCACAGCCAAGGGACTGCCCCTGGTTGTAGGTTTCCTTGTAGGTAATCAAAGCTGTATTCATATTTGTGTCATGGAAGCCAGGTCAGACTGAACTCAAACACAGGACTCATAGTTTGGTACATTTTAATCCCACTGCAGGTTTTTTCAGGAGAGCCACACAGGTACATTTTTTTCATTCAAAGGCAAATTGCACAATCAGGTGAGGTAGCAGGTTTCACTCCACTCCACTTGCGGCTCCAAAATGCGCATCAAACAAAGGAGGTGTGTAATTACCAGCAGGTGTGCAGAAACCTGAGCTGAATTTCACCACTGCATAAAACCAACACACACAGTCTATCACACACACACCAGGATACAGAAAAAGAGAGGTAGAGACGTCAAGAGGCGGAGACAGAAAACAATACGTCGGCACAGCAAGGACAGTGGCACCATGACAATTCAATAACTGTCAATAACTGAAGAACAACAACAACAACAACAATAATAATGATAATAATATAATTGACAATAATTTTATGATTGATTGGTGGCAAAAAAGTTTTCTAAATCTTTTATTTTTTATTATAATTGAACTTTTCTAATTTTATACAATGAGTAGGGCACAGTAGAGTTTAATGTCACTCGTTCTCGTTATAGAGAAAATGTCACACGCAAGCAGCCTTTTTAATGTTTGATTTCCAGACCAGATTTGACCCATTACTTTTACAGTTTTGTAAAAAACAAAATAAATAAATAAATAAAAGTAATGTAAAATCTATGGACAGTAAATTGCCTATGGACAAGTTTCCTACTTGCACTCCCTCTTTGAGAAACTTATGATTAAATGCAGGTGTGTTACTTGCACATATTTTTACCTCTCTTTTTTCTGTTTGGTTTTTATTTCTGTTAGTGAAGGGTGGAGATCTGTGCATGTACCAGTTGGTTGAGCTTTTTTTCTGCTGTTTTCAACCTCGCTCAGTGGTTCCGCCTCCTGTCTTCATCTAATGCTTTATTGTCCTCTGTGACACCAGTTAACTCAAAAGAAAAACACTGCACCTTTCATAGATTTCAACCTTTCTAACGATTACATTACAAGTTGTTCAAGCTTTCCAAGAACAGTT